ACACACACACACACACACACACACACAAATACACACACACATACACGCGGGAGCGTGCACGCACAAATGAATACTTTAAAAAAATTAACAAAGACAACAGATTTATATAGTTAAAAAAGGATTCATATTATGTAATGTCGCAATAGGATCGTCAGATCACACCTTGTGCTTGCGTAGATCCATTAGAATTTCACAAACCATACGTACTATTTAGAAGTACATACACGTTTCACTTGTACTGCAAAGTTCTAGTTTTAGTAAAGGTTTTACACCACTTGCAATAAATACAATAAGGTTGAATCAAAGAATTTTTAATGGACGAAGGTGTGCGAGAAAATGGTCTCCAAATTTTGGTGATTTCCAAAGCTAGAGAGGCTTTGTAAGCGAACGTTTACATTTTTTGTGTGCCTTTTGATCAACGAATGTTTAAAAAAATTTCTTTTTAGTACAATCCCGCAGAGAAACGTGTATTAAAATGGACATAAATGATTTTAAGCCGAACCAATGTTCGATAAAAATTGCCTAACGGTCGGAAATATGCCGGTTTCTTTGATTTCGTTATTTTGATGAGCCCCTGATTTCAACACGATGCAACAAAAATAGCGTCCAAACTTTACAAAATTTCACACATGTTAAAGTAAAAGGCGTAGTAAGGAGTCGTAAAATCCGCAATTAATTTTTTTTAAAAATGTTTCGTTGGCGGGGTGATCCCGGCGGCCATATTGGATTTTGTTGACATGTCTTACACAATGAATACCGCACTTGTTTCTTCATGGATGTGGAACTTTTCCTAAACGAAATAGAAAATAAATTTCCTGAGGTAGTATTCCATTTTGAAGGGGAAAAAAATGTTGAAAATCGATATTCCAGACACTACCAACAAAATCTCTCCCATATATCGAAAAATCAGCAGACGCATGTTTAGTGTTACATGTTCTCTTCATTCTGATAAAATTTCATGAAGACTGGCTGAAAAGTTGCAGTTATTCAAAAAAGTATAATATGAAAAAAAACCCCGTGTTTTGAGAAAATGGGCATAAAGAAAAATAAAAGATTGACTTCTGAGGAAACGGTGGTGACTAACATACACAATATTGGAAAAAAATCTGGCTTTAGGGAATTCTAAAGCAGTGGACTGACAATCCATAATTTTGACCCTAATTGGACTTCCAGTGTGTATTATAGAACTCTGGGCCTCGCCCAGCTCAAAATACGTTTAGCCTATGAGGCAGAGGCACAATGCAACGGCTTTTTGTTGGGTAGAAGTTAGAGTTCAGGCCAATTATAAGTTGATAAGAAATACGTAGCAAAACTACTTCAGTATAACATATATTTTTAGAATCGTATGAGGTTAGCGCTCTTTTCAACGCAATACGATAGTCTAGGATACGGGAGCTCCGATTAAAACATACATATTATTATCTCTGATAGGACGGAACCAGGCGGATGAAGAATCTTTAAAACTCCCGCAAACAACGCAAGTGCGGCTGGGGAATCAAACTAGGACAATGTGCAATGTAACCCGACATGCTACCATCGGAGTGCTATGATTTTGCTGGTGTGAATTGAACAATAGTGAAGCTATGTATTATTAAGAGGATAATGCTTTAGTTCGAGTGCACAGCCCACTGGGCTAAGCAAACACATTCTTTAAGTATCTGA